GGTGGCGCCTCGGGCCTGGGGCGCGCCGTCGCCCCGAGCCTCTCCGCGGGGAGCTCCTGCAAGCTCGTGAGTGCTGGTCGGCGGGGGGCGGTGCAGCGGCGGGGGCGCGGCCCGGCGACGGGCGTTCAGGACTGCGCGGGGGGCGAGGCGGGTGCTTTTGTGTTTTGGGGCCTTCGCACGTACTGCCCAGCAGACTCCCTGGATTTGCACGCCCTGCTGCCCCGCTGCCTGAGCCGCGCCGCGCGCGCTTGGGAATTTAGCCACGGCCGCGGCCCGACCGTGACTGCCCGCCGCTGGCGCTTCCGCCTGCGGCCGTAAAAAAAAAAACGTACTGCGGGCAATCGGTGCGAGACTCGTCAGGGCCAAGTGCCTGCAGCATCACTTTCCGCCGGCGGTGGCCCATGCAGCCATCCACGCTGAGTCTCGCGCTCGCTTCACGATTTTGTTGTGGGGCATTGTGGAGGGGCCCGTCTTAGCGAGGGGGCCTTCACGGTCTGTGCGTTCGCGACCAGTCTGACCAAGGTCGTCATCATGGAAGCGTTCGACCCCATCACCCGCGGCCCTGACTTTGACGCTTCTGTGGGCGATGTCGGTCTCAGCGCTGACTAACGGGAGGGCCAGAACTGTTGTGAACTTTCGGGAGTCTGGCGCCCGAGCGCTGCGCGATGCGTTTTCTTCCGCTGTCAGGTGCGCGCTGGCCATGGACAAGATTGGCACGGCGTCCAGCTGCAAAGGTGTGTCCTGTTGACGCTCCTGTTCCCATGAGGCACGCGCAAACCTCCCTGCCCGCCACTGCCATCGTGCTGCACCCGTTTGGGAAATCAGCTCAAAACAGCACTCGGCTGCCAGTGGCTCTGCAAGGAAGGCGGACCTCAGCGCGCCTAACAATTTCCCACCCTGGAAGAACAACAGCCTGTCTCCCATTGGATAGTAAGCGATTGCTGCTGCCCCGGGCGCTGGCTCACCAGAAGACCTCTTCTAACCATCAAAACTGAATGTATGATTGACGTCTGATGCCTCTGAAACTCACGGTATGTTCCAAGCGTGCCAGGCAAACCAACTCTGGCCCATGTCGAGCGCCGTGTTCGCCACCTCGCTGGCGAACCCGCATCCCGAGGCCCCATTCGATATAACCCGCTTGTTTCGTTGGGGGGGGCCTCTGAGTCCCATGTAGACGCGCCAACTGTCGTGCGATGCGCACATGCATGGGCCGGAACTCGTCATCATGAAATCTAGACCGCCATCCGAGAAATTATGCTACCTGCCGGTTGTCCAACCGCCATCCGAAAAATTACCGCCCTCCGAGAAAGACGCCCATGCTGAATCCACACTCTGTCCCCATTGGCGTCCCACGCGCCCTCTTTCTGCATTGGCTTGAACAGCTCATGGGTTTCCAATGGTAGCTTCACAACACGCGGCAATGCTGCGCTACAGGGGAGCGTCTTCGCGGATTCTGGCACTGGAAATCCCCATTGACGGCGTGCCCCTGCGCAGAACTCTGGAAAGAAATGCATCCACTTGCCCATGGAACTGCATCCGTCTCTGCGACATTCCCAACCCAATCTCCATGTACCTTCAAATGAATAGTCCCATGCTGTGGCTGGGTGTCCAGAGTGAGCCCGTATCACGCTGAAACGTCGTCGCTTGGATCCGGAAGCAAGGGGAAGTGCAACTTGCCGCCGTTCGATGGCGCTGCATTGTCGCGCTGCCCGCACTGGATTCTCGCCGACATCCAAGCTCCATCCCGTCATCGCCCACGCCTCCTTCAAGACGGCCCTGAGCACCCAGACGAAAATGAAGTCCCGTCTAGTTGCATCCATCCACCGAGAAATCATTGCCCAAGTCCTGGCGTTGAGACTCAGAGCAGTCTCGTCAAGGCGCATGCGCAGCCAAAGTATTATCCGCAATCTCCGTAACTCCCACGTTCGTAGCTGCTTCAGAATCCCGGCGGTCAAATGCCATGTCTCCGAACCGTCCTGCGCTATGGCGGCGGGCCCCGTTCCCCAGCCTCGCGATGTCATGAAAATGGGTGCGCCACGGTTCTGCAGAGTTCGCTGGTGTTTGTAACGGCGCCTCTCTGCGCGGCCCAAATCGAAATTGACGATGTCCTCAGTGCTGCCGCTCGGCCTTAAGACCTCTCCCGGCAACTCCAAGTGGCCCCGCCTGTGGTAGTTCAGTTCGGGCCCGTCTTGCTCGGAACTGAGTTGTCCGCCCTCGGCTGTCCCCAAGGAGTTCTCCAGCTTGCACCCGAGTGGCCAACCTAGGTGCGGATGACACTGCTGGCAGAGCTGTCAGAGCCGTTGGAAACGGTATATGTGCCGAAATGAAGGAGCGGGCCGCGTACGCGCACAGGAAACCTAGTCGTCTGGCCAGGCGGGAGCCCGTGCTTGGACGTAGGTGTGCCAGGGTGCTTGCTGCGAGGCTCTTTGCGGGAGCCGTGTGCGGGTCTGATCTTTCGGGGTCTCTGAGCGTGAGTTGCTTGATTTGAGGCACGTGGCCATGTCGTGCGTCAAGCCCACTGCACAAAGGAGGCCTCTCTTGGCGTTGTCCCTGTAGGAAGGGGGCCCCACTTGGAGGGCAAGCTTGGTGCCATAGTCAGATGTGCCAAGGAGATTTCGAGTATCCAGAATCGGGTTTTCGATTGTCCCCTTTGTTGGGGCAAAAAGCGCTCGGGATGGGAACTGTTTAAAAACTGCGCGACTGGTCTTGGTGATCAATTTCTTGACCGATTTCTGCTTTGAGGGTGTCCCTGTCACACTGTATAGGCTCTGCTGGACGATGCCCAACTTCACCACCACTGTTGGCGATTATGGTCGGGAGATCTCCCTGACGCTGCGATCAACGAAACTGGCAAAGGTTTTCTGCCGTGAAGCTGTTTTTCGAAGCCTTGACCGTGACTCTGGTGATAAGTTTAAGGCGGGCTCGAAGTTGTGTTGGGACCAGGTGCGCCCTCGGCTGCGGAACCACGGACACGCTCTTGCACCGCGCCTGGGTCTGCTCGTACGCGCAAGATGTGACATACTGGCGCCGCATACCAAAATGGATTCAGCAAGCTCCTCTAGAAGCTCCAGGGGATGACCCCGAAAGAACTACTCTGTGGCTCCATGGTGCCTTCCGTCATCCTGGTGATGCAACGGCCCAACCCTTCACAAGTACTGGAGTATCGTTTCAATGGTTCGCAGATGCTCTTCCTGAGCCCGGTAGGCCTGGAGGCCCTCCTCCCTTGGTTCCCCGGGGGCACCTTTTCATGGAGGGGTCTTGCTTTCCTGAAGAGCCGCCAATCGCGCGTTCTTCTGCCCACGCCTCCCTCTGGACGCTCGGCTCAGTGGTGGTGGTGGTGGTGCGTGAGTTGTCCATGGCTCCTCCTCCTCCTCCTCCTCCTCCTCCTCCTCCTCCTCCTCCTCCTCCTCCTCAACCTCCTCCTCCTCCTCCTCCTCCTTTTCCTGCTCCTCCTCCTCCTCCTCCTCCTCCTCCTCCTCCTCCTCCTCCTCCTCCTCGTGGTTGGGGAGCGGTCCTAGTGTCGGAGTCTGGGGGGCGCCTACGGGTTCTAAAGGGCCCCCCTCTGGGCCTGGCGGCCGCCGACCCCCGAGCGGAGCGAGTTTAGGGGCCCTGGCCTGGACAGCCTTGTGCACTGACGCTCCTGCCGGATGCTATTATGACTGTTCCAGTGTTAATGCGGGATGACGATTGATAAAAAATGGGAGGGAACGATTAAAAAAATAGTTGTTTCTGCTATTTCTGCATAATCTTCTGACTGGAGAAGAACGATTTAAAAAGAATAGTTCTCCTGCCCGCGGCCGGTTTTTTCAAATCGTCATCCCGGGCGCTGCCGCGTGAACACGACCCCCGGTCATTTATTAATCGTCATCCTCCATTATGTTGTTTCAGAATCTAGGTGCTGCATATGCGCTCGGAGCAGAAAGCCTCTATGCTGACCCTTTTTTATGCAGGCGCGCCACCATGTCGGCCGCTCCTGCACCGGGTTCCACAACGTGGACGCCCACGCGGATGTGGAGGAGGTGGGGATGTCGGCGGGGGGTGAGTTTCGGAGGTTAGGGAACCCGCCCGCTCACACCGCTGCGAGAAAAAGATGCGGATTTCCACCCTCGCATGAATCCACCAGAGGTCGAGACCCGGGATCGGAAGATTGCCGTCGCCCACCGCAACCTGTTGAGCGGAGAGAAGCGCCTGCCACTTTGGCCGAAGGTCGAGTTTCGAGGTCTTAAGCAAGTCACGCCGCCACATCCTCCTAAGCCTGACCATTCGGGGCGCAAGCATGAATGGACTCGCACTAGCTACGTTTGGAAGGGTCGAGTTTGCTTTGGGGGCTCCACAACGTCATCCAGGCCGTCGGAAAGTCCCGTGTGCTCGGGACGCAGCAAGCTCGATCAGCGTGTATTGGAGCGTCGCGGGCACCGTGATATTGCATCCCCAGGCTCGGATAAGTCTCACCTGCTCATGCACATGAATCGCACTCTTTCTAGCAATGGCGGATTGGTTCTCGGCATCGGGCACGCAAATGCCCCGCCTACGGTGACTGGCATACATTATATGGGCAAGCTCCGTGAAGGCCTCCATCCTGATGAGAAGGATGCCACTGTCGATATCGACGAAGTCATCCCATTGTTATTATAAGTACAGGCTCAGTGCCGATCCACCTGCGCCTTTGAGCAGGTGTGTGCAATCGCTCTAGACAGAGGTCGTACAGTCAGTACCAAAAAAACGGAGGAGGAGGAACAGGAGCAGGAGTATGAGGAGGAGAAATAAAAGGAGGAGGGGGAAAAGAAGGAGGAGGAATAGAAGGAGGAGGAGGAGGAACAGAAGGATGACCAGGAGGAGGCACAGGAAGAGAAGAAGGAGGAGGAGAAGGAATATGAAGACCCTGGGAATACAATGAAAAACACCAGTCGTGCTCGAAGGAAGAGGAGGAGGAGGAGGAGGAGGAGGAGGAGGAGGAGGAGGAGGAATATGAGGAGGACGGGAAGAATTCGAGGAAGAGCCTGCGCGTCGCCGCGCGAGGGCCCACGGCGGGGCCGCCGGGCCGGCCGCCACGGGGTACACCGCCGCGCGGCCTCGGCGACGACGACGACGACGACGAGGGGACAGGTGGGGAGGAAGAGGAGGAGGAGGAGGAGGAGGAGGAAGAGGAGGAGGAGGAGGAGGAGGAGGAGGAGGAGGAGCGCAAGTACCTCACGGGGGGTCGGGTGGGGAGGAGGATGTAGTAGTGGTGGCATGCTCTGGGAGGTCCGTTCGATTCCAGCCACGGAAACAGGGATGGCCCCAGGCCTCTCGGCCGCGGGCCGCGCTGCCCCCCGCGGCGCCCCCCTTTTCCCCCATGGGCTCGCAACCGAGGGTGGGGTGCCGCGTTCGGGGGCCGACCGTGATCCCTTCCGACCGCCCCCCCGCTCCCGACGACAACGACGACCCCCTCCCCCCCCTATGGTCCGCCGCGCGCCAACTTCCCCGTCCTTTGGGCGATGGCACCGCTGGAGCTGGCAGACGTGGCGTGACGGCACGGAACTCAACAGGTAGGCTGAAAACGTACATACGTTTGGCGCGGCACGTTCGCCACACCGTGGGCCAACACGTGCCCAGCCAACACGCAGTGGGTTAACACGGAGGGTTCGAACATGGTTGAAGGGAAACTGGGACACACACATAAATACACACAAATAAAAAGATGTCCCATATTTTCATATATTTTCTTGGCTTTTGTCTTCCCCCCCACTTCCCATATTTTCAAATATTTTCTTGGGAATCGAGGATTAATTGTGTCTGTGTGTTTTTCCCCTCCTGGATGGTGCATGTCGCGTTTCAGAACAGGCGTATCAGGGCAGCTGAGCGCTGGGATCTCAGCACGTCGACGGCGGCCCCTGCCCTTCCCACCTGACCCTCTGTGGGGCAAAGGGGGGGGAGGGAGGAGAGTGCGCAACAGGACCGAGAGGCAAGGCACTTGAAGATCCCAAGAGGCCCCAGAAGGCCCCCAAACGGCCCCAAGGAAGCCCGCAGCGGCCTCAATAGGCTCTCCAGAGGCCCCCAAAAGGCGCCCACGAGGCACCAGATTTCCTCCGCAGAGGCCCCCGAGAGCCTTCAGAAGAGACCCCAAGAAGTATCCCTCTGGCCCACGTCAGCATCGTCGTCGTTGCCGCCGCCGCCGCAGATGTCGTCGTCGTCCGAGACCTGGGCAATGCAGAGAAGCTGGCATCAACATAGACCCCCGCCTCAAAAGAACTGGAGCCCCCAAAAGTATAAAGCGCTCTTTCCACGAAATGTCTCCGTCCAATCCCGCCTCGGAAGAGGGTGGATGAGGAAACTCAAACATCGTCACTGAGTTCACGCCCCCTCTAGCCTGCAACAGGCCTGCCGTCACAATGCCATGAACCACCAGGTCACGAAGCCTCGTGATCTACTGCACCGGGAAGGAGTAGCAGCAGGAGGATGAGGAGAAATCGACTTCCTTCAGGGACACCAGGTAACGAACAGTGGCCGATGGTCATTCAGGGTGCGCACAAGGAGGTAGGGGTAGGGGGTAAAACAAGCTCTGGTGCGGAGGGGGCTTGTATTGAGTTTCTGCAGCGAGCGCTCGTGCCACTGACGCGCTCGGGAGCGTTTTTCCATCGCGTCGTCTGGGGCCTTGGGCGAAGACCACACGCCGATGAAGAAACACCAGGAAACCACACACAGAACGCGAGGAGGTGCATCAGTCACGATAAGGATGCGAAGGCCTTGGAAGGCCATGCCGACACTTTGCGAGCGGCGCGCGGCCAACGAAAGCGGCCAAGCATGGGCCGAAGGGGAAGGATGCAAGGGCAACCTTGGAACATGGTTCCTCCTTACTATGCTATACGGGTTGACTGTATCGTTTTCTCCTCTAGTCCCGAAGCTTCCTGTAACTCTCCTGAGATGGGCACGGCAAATACGACATGGGACGCCTCAGCCACAAACGTTGTCCAAAACCGACAGGGCAGTGGCCACAGTTGGGCAAGCGGCCTTCTGTCTCAGCATGGACAACTCCCGCGGCAGAACCGACAGCAAATCCTGCTCCACATGGACACGTACAGCTGTCTGCCATCCTCGCCATTCCATCCGTACCCCTTTCGACCCTCCAGAACTCACATGCAAAAGCGTCCAACACCTCCTCGATCCTCGATCCTCCCCCGCTCGGCCCAATCCGACCAAAATGAATCCACTGACCCCTCCTGGGGTCCACTCTTACAAGTTTAGTGACCGTTTTTTGTCTTTCCCAGACAAGGGTCGTTACCCGGAGGGGGAGGGGGGGGGCGGTCGGGCGGGAGGGTAACGGTGACGGCGGCTGCGGCTTGCACCAGCCAGGGTGCGTCCGCGCCACCAGCGCACCAACCGCCCATGTGCACCACGGACCGCATGTAGGGGGGGGAGGTCTGGGCCCCTCCCTCCCCAGTACAATCGTACGCGTTATACCCGAGGGGCCTGGGCCAGGTCACGAGCGCACTCTGGGGAGGAAAACAAACACGCTCACTTCTCGACGCGGATATGTGGCCGTGGCGGCGAGCAGCCCACCGGGAGGCCCACGGAGCACGGAGAGAACCTCCGGGGAAGGCCGCCCTCCTCCGATAGAGCTGCAGCGCTCTCCTTCACCGGGCCCTGCCCCGAGGCGGCTCCGACCCGCACGCGCCGGCGGACGAGCGCTCGGCCGGCGGAAGGCGCACGAGACGGAGCCGGGACGAGGACGACATCGGCTATAGGGATTGAATGGAGGATCTCTGTGATCGGGTATAGGGATTTGATGGAGATCGGGTATCGGGATTGAATGGAGGATCTCCGAGATCCAGCGGCTCCGGAGGCTGCCTCGGGCGCCGCGGCCTCCTCCGAGCGAGAGAGCGCTCCAGAACGGAGCGCGACCCTCGTCCGAGCCCCGTATCCGAGGGCACCCTCGGACTCTCCGCGGGCCTTCCGCCGGCGGAGCCGCCGCCGCCGCTCTATAGCTAACCCCGCCGACGAGGCGGCGCCCCGCCCCTCCTCGGCGCCCCGGAGGGCGCGGCCCCGCCCGACTGCCAGGCGCCCCGCCTCTCGGCCCTCCGGGCGCTGCGGGCCGGACGGCGCGTCGCCCCAGCGGCCCCGGCGACACGCTGCGCCCTGAGGCCTCAAGGCACAGCGCGTCGACTCGCAATATATATATATATATATATATATATATATATATATATAGACATACATATATATATATACATATATCTATATATATATACATATATATATATATATATGTATGTATTGCGAGTGGACGCCGTCCGCGGGGCGACGGCGTGTCGCCCCGCGCCGCGGAGCGACACGCCGTCCACTCGCAACAGATTGCGAGTGCACGGCGTGCCGCTCCGCGGCGCGGGGCGGGGCGCTCGGCAAGGCTCTGCCCGAGGACGCCGCGGGGCGGCGAGGCGGGCGTGTCGCGTCGCGCCGAGGCGCGGCGGGCCCGAGCCGCCGGTGGCGACGCGCCGTGCACGAGTCCGCGACCGCGGGGGGCCCCGCGCCGAGGCGCCGCCGACCCGCGCACGCCGGCGGACGAGCGCGCGGCTGGCGGGGGGCAGCTCCAGGCGCTGCTCCCTGCCGTGGCTCGCCGCCGCGCCGGCGCCCTGCGGCCAGGGCAACAGGGGGGGGGGGGGACCCTCCTCCCCTCCCCCTTCCGTGATCAGATCCGCGGCGAGCCCCGGGGGAGAAGTGGCAAGAGGCGGGCCTCCTCAGAAGGCTCGGACGGCCTCGGGCCTTCTGAGAAGTTTTCGCAGCCTTCCCCAGAAGCACAGATCACTGCTCAGAAGGCCGGCGGTCTTGCGAGAAGCCTCGCCACCTTCTGAGAAGGCCTCCTCCTTCTCACTCCCGCCCGCGTCCGCCGCCGATGAGACAGCAGAAGAACCACCCTCATAATAAGCTCCGACAGGAAACGCCGACAAGCAACAAGGAAGGAATCGAACAGTGCTGGGCTGTGTGTTCAATAAACGCCCAAGGCCGTCCAGTGAACGGCAATCATGAAGGTCGAGATGTTTCGTCCTGCGTTGACTCTTGTGGCCTTTGCGGAGCTCTTCTGGGACCTGGTCGGGCCGACCTCGGGTGTCGACTGTGGCATCTTCTTCCGCCAGTGGGCTGCGAGCCGTGAAGCAAGACTCGTGGGTGGCACCTTCGCCGGCCGTTCAGCACTGACGCTCTTGAGCTGAAACTGAGGCCAGCGATGGCGGTGTTGGTTACAGGATCGCATCGTAGTAACTGCCCCCTCAGTGCCACCTGGATGGCTCATCGTCGAATCCTTCATTCGAATCCTCCCTCCTCCTCCCTCCTGCTCCTCCTCTCTCCTCCTCCTCCTCCTCCTCCTCCTCCTGCCGCTCCTGCTCCTATGCAGGCATAAGTTTGTTGTCTGGACGTGCCCGAATTTGCCCGAAGGGCGCTGCATCGGGGCGGCTCGCAAGCTGCTGTGGCAGCCTCAATCGTCATTTGGAGTGTCGGCGCGCTGTCGTGGACCAGCGTGCCGTTCAGCAAGCGTGCGTTGCAGCGCAATCGACAAGAGCACGAACACACGCCCGCTCGAAGTTGTATGCGCCTGCCTACCTGACCATCGGCACTCTTCGATGCTCTGGCTTGAAGGTGCTCGTTGCAAATCGATTGCCCACATGCCACTACTGTTACTCTCTCGTTGAGCTGCCGGACTGCGTTGTCTTCGTTGGCACTGGAATATATAATTCGTTGCTGCTTGCTTCGCTGTTCGCTATGGCTTGATTGCGTTGCTGCTGTCTTGCCAATCTGCTCTCGTTTGCTTGCGTGCCTCCTCAAGGACTGCGCTGCTGGCTTGCACCCTCGCTGGCTGGCCCGCCTGCCCGCCCGCCTGCCTGCGTCTGCTTGCCTGCCTGTCTGCCTCCGTCGGCCTGGTTACTTCTGCGGACGGTTGCTTGCTTGCTGGCTCGATTGCCCGTTCTCCTTCCCATCCGCCTTCAATGAGGGCACGATGCTGGGAGAAGAGGCCTTGCGAACAGAACCTGAGATGCTGCCAGTGTAAGCCGCCGGCTGCGCCTGTCTTATTACGAACAACTACGACTCTCGCAGGCACTCTCCTGAACAACACCTCGTCATCGTGATCGTTTGTCGCCACCATCACCTCCGCACTTCCATGCCCGCGTGCTCGGTGCCAGACATCGTCATCTTGGAGGCGGACGATGCCACGGCAGGCTCGCATCGTGACGACATCGGCGTTGGCTTCTGCGGCGGCGAGAGATGAGGTAAGAGAGGAGGAGGAGGAGGCGGAGCGTGCTCAAGAGTAAGTGAGGAGGAGGAGGAGGAGGAGGAGGAGGAGGAGGAGGCCTTGTGAGAGATTTCTGTGCTTAGCGGAAGGCTTAAAACACGTCTCAGAAGAGCGGGGGGACTTTCGAGCCTTCTGAGCAGGCCCGCCCCATCTCACTTCCCCCCAGAAGCCTCCCCAGGAGATAAACAAAAACTTCTCAGAAGGCGCGGGGGCTTCTGGGAAACCCCGGCGCCTGAGAAAGCCTTCTCCTTCGCACTGCCCCGCTCGCTCGCCGCCGACTTCTGCAAGGAGATCTGTACGCATCCGCTGCCCCAGGCCTGACTCAGCCTGGGCCCAGGAGCGGAGCATGTGCCGCCCTGGCCGAGCCAGCAAGGCGTCTGCACTGCTCCTGGGCGCAGGGCAGGCTTGGCCTGGGGCAGTGGACAGATCCTTTCTGAGAAGCCCCGCCGCCTTCGGAGACGGCCCTCTCCTCCCCCCCCCCCACCCCCAGGGGGAGCCTATGGGGGGCCTTCTTGTGCGACGACGACGACGACGACGACGAGCTACCATTCCAAGCCCTCGCTCGCCGCCGATTGAGCGATGACGGCCCTCTGATGGCGCAGGCCCTTCTCTCGCGGCGTCCTTCCCAGCCTGGAGCGCCGGCGCTGTGGGGCGGCTGCCGCGCCCCCCCAGCGCGGCACGAGCCCGTCTCACCGAACGTGCCTGAAGGTCTCTGAGCTTTAGCGGCGCGCCAGGGGGCTCTTCCGGATGCTCCCCGGGAAATTCTCTGCACGCTTCCAGCGACTGACCGGATTCAGGCTTCGGGAGGCCACAGAGCAGTGCTCGGAGGCTTCCGGGTTTCGCCGACCATGTGCTGAAGGAGCTCGGGCGCTTCTCAAGGTGTCTAACAGTTCTCGTAGGCTTATGAAGGGGGAAAGGGTAAGGAGGGATGGAAGAGGAAAGAGGACGTGGAAACCGGGGGGGGGCAGGGGAGGGGAAGCAGAACAAGGACGAGCGACAGGAACACGAAGAGGAGAAGGAGGAGGAGGAAAAGGAATGGGCGCGGATGAAAGCTTCGTCGAACAGAGTACTGCGTTGGCACGGTGGCGGAAGCAACCACAAGGCCCTGGCACAGAACCTGCGCTGGCACGATGGCGGAAGCCCAAGGTGTGCTCGAACCTTCACTACACAGAATGCTGCGCTGGCACTTGCCGCAGACAGTTGGATGCCGCAAAAACCTGCAGGAGCCTCAAGTCCTCTCCTGCCCACGCCATTGTCCGCGGGCCTGCGCAGGGATCCACTGCTGGACGTCTGCCAGGCTGGTTCCTGGCGCGCTCCGCCCATGTTGGCATCTTCCCCCGATTGCTTTATCTGGGGTTCTTTCTGTTACTGTCACGCCTCCGACACCCCTACTCTCTCTCACTCACTCCTGTCGCGTCCCCCCGACACACAGACAGACTCGCACTCAGACTCAGTCAGACTCAGCCACTCCAACTCGGATGCTGATGCTTGGTAAGCGGCGTCACGCGCGCGTCTTCGCCCAGCCGAGCTCTCAGAGACCACTCAGGCTCCAGCAGCGCCAGGCGGCAGCTGCGGGGAGAGGAGGGGACGAAACTATACCGTGAGGGGGGGAGGTGCCGAACCTGCGAAGAACTACGGCGTCCGCCAGGTGCGCGTGAACCTCCCTTGGCGGCGCGCACAAGGGGGTGGGGGGAGGGGGGAGGTTCTTAGAGGCTGCTTCTTAGAAGGCGCCAGCCTTACATCTATGGATAAGGCCCGCACCTTCTAAGAAGCAGGGGTGCTTCTAAGAAGCCCTCCCCCTCCCCCCACCCCCCTCTGCGCGTGGCTGACTCCCTCTGGCCTGCGAGTCGCGGCCACTGACGGACACCGAGGGGGGAAACGAGCCTGCGATCGTCGCTCCCGGCCGCCTTCGGGCTGCCCGGGCGGGCGGGCGCGGGCTGGGCCCGGAGGCCGGAAGACGGCCTCCAGGGGCCTCCTCCTCCTCCTCCTCCTCCTCCTCCTCTTCCTCCTCCTCCTCCTCCTCCTCCTCCTCCTCCTCCTCCTCCCTCTCCTCCTCGTCCTCCTCCTCCTCCTCCTCCTCCTCCTCCTTCTCCTCCTCCTCCTCGAAGCCAACCGGGACTGGAAGGCGGGGAGAGCGAGCAGCCGAGTCAGGACCGACCAAGGAGTGCGTCAAGCAGCGGCGGCGGAGAACGAGCTGAAGGCGGCAGAGCCAGAAAAAAGGTCGCGTGACCAAGGAGCCGCCAAAGCCGGCAGGGCCAGGCGGCGCGCCGGCCGAGGGGCGGTCCCTGAGGGAGCGGCCCGGGCAGGTCCCCAAACAGGGGGGCCGGGGCGGCGAGGGGGACGGGGGGGGGGACGGGAGGAGGGCAGGGGAGAAGCGGATGCAGACAGGAGGCGGAGAGCGGCGGAGTGGTCCTGGAACCGCGGGGGCGGGTGAGCCGCAGAGGTGGCACTGGGCCGCAGCGGGGGGGGGGCCCTGGTGGGCAGGGACCAGGGAGGCCGCTTCGTCCCTGGCAAGGGCGTGCCGCGGCCGCAGGCCCTGCTGGGCTCTCGGGAGGGTGACTGGGATGGCGCCTCGGGTGCTCGCCCCAAGAGGCAGAGCTGGCCGCAGGCGAAGTCCAGAACTGAAAAAGGGGAGCCCGTTCACCACCACCTCACGCCCCAACGGTTCGGTGGGGCCAGGGGCCACGGCTGGGTTACTTATCCCGGGAGGGCCCCGATCGACAGGCCGAGGCAGCGCTCGGAGCACCAGTGGTCGCGGCACTCTGGGAGCCACGGCGGCCCTGACGAACGAACAACACACACCCATACCCATAGGGAGGTCGTTGGGAGGAGGACTGGCTATGGGTTATGGGTGCGGGTTGTCGGACCCTGGGGAACGCTCCCGTTCGAGCGGGGACCCCCATCCGACAACACGCATCCATAGCCCTCTCTGATCCCCCTATGGGTACGGGTGTGTGTTGTTGGTTCGTCATGTTGGGCTCAGGGTTTGGAGGCGGGCTCGTGCTGGGATCGCCCACCGTAGTAGGCAGCGCTGGCGCCGAACGCAGCGGAGGTCAACGGCGACTGCGCGAGGAATGCTGCTGGTCGGGGCGGGAGGCGGGCCGCGTCCTCGGGGCAGGTCCCTTCCGGGCGTGGGAGCCGCCCTCCCGAAGCGGGGGCCCGAGGGGCAGAGGCGCCAGCCAGCAGGGCGAAGCCAAGGGAAGCGAAGAACTCCTCGAGCGCGGCACCAGAGCAGGCGTGTGGCGACGAGTAGATGGTGCCCTCGATGCTCTAACCGCCCTTGGGCCGGAGCCCCGCCCACGTGCGCCACTCGACATCAGAGGAGGAGGAGGAAGAGGAGGAGAAGGAGGAAAAGGAGGAGGAGGAGGAGGAGGAGGAGGAGGAGGAGGAGGCGGAGAGAGGAGAGGGCAGAGGGAGGAGGAGGCCCCAGGGGAGGTACAAACAGCAGTGGACCACGACCTTCTTGGCAAGAAACCACCGGGCCTGGGCGCCCACAGAGGCGCCGGCCTGCCCCGCACAGCTGACAGGCCCGTCCGTGGTAAGACGCGTGCGGGGGGCGGGCGCGAGACGGGGCGCGCAGAGGCTCGCCAGCGTGAGGGCGAGCAGCTGACGTGTCGATGGGGCTGGCTGGAGGTGGGCCCAGCGGTGGGAGCGATGGCGGTACCTGCTGGACCGCTGGACTGGTCCCCGCTCCTGCGGCCGGGGTGGCCCTTGGCAAGCCCCCAGGGGCGAGGGACGAGCGCGGCGGTGGTGGTGGCAGAGGGGACGGGGACCGCGCTGGGCCCGGACACGGAGGTGCGGCAGTCGGGGAGGGCCTGACGGCCGCGCGCGCGATCTGATTGGTGGGTCTCCCGCCGGAGGAGGGGGGCGCGTGGGCGGTTGGAGGAGCCGCGACCAGTGGGGCCCGCGGAGGGCAAACGCTCGGCGGCAAGCGCGCGGCGATGCCCAAGAGCCGCAGAGAGAGCGCCCCCCCCCCGTGTCCCTGGCCCGCCACGGGCGCCGGAGGCGCTTGGTCGCGGCCGGCCCAGGCGCTGCCCGGGAGGCGTGGCGTGGCAGCGGAAGGGGCTGGCCCAGGGGAGCCCCCCAGGGTGGGGAGCTCTCGGAGATGGGCGGTTGCGGTTGAGCGCCGAGGGGCCTGTCGCGCGACGCGGGCGCTGGAGGCGCGGCGCCAGCGTCGTTGGGGTGTGCAGGCGCGCCCGCGGCCACGGGAGCGGAGGCGGGGGCCCGAGACCCTCAGCGAGGTGACCTGGGCTGGGGGTCTCTCATCGGGAGGGTTGACGTCTCGAATACGCATCGAGAAGACTTGCAACAGCTGTGGCTCCATCAAATTGGGGTCGTTGCGTATGGAGGGTTTCCCGCGCGTCGCAACGTGGGAGAGGAAGTCCTTCCACATGCATGGGGTCCCCAAGGTTACCCTGATGCCGTTAACGTGCCAGACGAGGGCGGCGGATGCCTTGACGGAGCGCGCGTCGTAGCCACGAGGCAACCCAGTGGCAGGGACGTGAGTAGCGGGTTTGCCGTAGGAGCCGCATGCACGTAACAAGAAGTTGCGGAGGAGCGTCGAAGACTGAGTGTTGGGGTCAGCGGATGTGGTGCTGTTCCGACGGAGAATGGATCGCCAGAGCTTCGCATGTCGGAAGCCTGCACCCAACCGGTGGTCAGGAGGGCCAGGTCGTGCCGGGAGAGCTCATGAGTGAGAGTGTCAGCAAGGTGGGCAAATGGCAAGCCGGTTGGGTGCGTGGGGTAAGACTGAGGTTTTGCCACGCCCTGCGCCTGGGTTGCACACAAACACACACACACAAACACACACGCACTCACACACACACACACACACGCACTCACACACACACACACACACACCTACAAACCTGCACACACATACAAACACACACACACACACGTTTGGCGTGACGGCCGTGCGCGCGGCGACACGGCGGAGTCAGAGTCGGCCCAGAGCGATTAGCAAAGCCACAAGGATACCTGAGCCGAAAGCATGCGCGAGTGTCCTGACCTCAAATGGTTAGAGTTTCAAGTACCCCGGATGATGAAGGAACAGCCAGCCTCGAACCAGAACATCACATCGAATCGGCCGACGAACCATCGGAATCACATTGGATCGGGCCTGCCGAGCCCGATACAGGACGGTATCAAATCGGCTCGGTCGGATAGACATTGACCCTGTTGCGGAGGGCTTTACCCATTCCTCCAGCCCCTCGGGCGGTCCACGATGGCCCAGGGCGGCCGATTCCACCATGAGCCCAACGCTTGTCTTAAAACTTCCGCCGCCTTCCGCCTGTGGACCCACCACTGTTGTACTTCCGCCGGCTTCCGTCGAGGAGAACGCGCAGAAGGCAGGTCGCGCCAAGTGGCCCCGGATATCACAATATGGCTTCTAAGATCGCGCCATGTTGCCTTCTACGTGCTTCCGAAAGGCCCAGAGCGAAGCCCAGATGGCTCGTGGTCACGGAGTCTTCCCAGGATAACCCCCCGAGAGGCCAAAAGTACTGGACGACAAAAGGCTTCTCGCTGACTTGTGCCTTGTCACCTCTTCGTTTCCAGCCAAGAGCGCCCTGATGCCTCACGATGGCGGCCCGGCACAAGATGGCCGAAACATAGGGCCTCAGGCCCTAAAGGCAACAAAAGGAGCCAGACGGCCCCAAAGATCAACCAAAGCGAGCCGCGATAAATAACACTGCGGGTTCCAACGGGGGTGTGTAATCTCAAATATTTGCTGTCTCCGGCCTTCAAGATAGCCCCAAGAGAACATCCAGAACCCTGATCTGGCCATGGGTTGGGGGCTGCTCGGGCTGGTGCGGGCTTCGGTTCGAACCCCCCCTCACTTCCACCGGTACTCCGCCACAGCCCCTCTGAGCCACTTCTCACGACGACTCGTCTGGGAATCGGTTCTAGATGGGCCACTGGAGACTCGCCGACCGTCGAAGATTTCAAGGCCGACCGCCATCTCGCAAACTGCCTGCACCACAATCGGGTCGGGCGAACGGGGGGGATAGCGAAGGGGGGGTTTGAGAATCAGCTCACGTAGCTGATTTCTCAGGCGCCTCCCGGCGCCACAGGCGGCCATGCATCGAGGAATGGGCCCCTCGGTGAGGCCGAATCCAGCTGCGTGCAGCAGATTTCGTACCCCCCCTTTCCCAATCCCCCCCTTTCGTCCGGCCCGACACAACACCGCGCTGCAGGCCCGAAGGCGCGCTCCCAGCCGCGGCGGAAAGAACGAGGCCGACGTGCGGGGCACTGCCGTCGAGCGCAGGGCAGCCCGTGCGGCTCGCCCCTCTCTCGGGGACTGTGCCAGCCTGCCCGTCGCCCCGCGCGGGCACGCAATACTCCATGGCCCGCCAAGCCGGCGTCAAGGGCTGCACGTCCTGAGCGCCCCGCCTGCGCGCAGTCCCCTCTGAGCGGCCGCCCTCGTCCTCCCCTATAGTCCCCGCGGTGTCAAGATCGAAGGGGGAGCGTCAGAGGGGGGCCCAGCTCAGGGGGGGGAAAGCCATCGAGCTGGAGTCGGCGACGCATCGCCGATAGATCGGCGCTGGGCCCACGACAGCGAGTCCGCACGCTCCTGGTAGGGGCGGGCAGTCGAGGCCCCTATCGGCGATGAGTGGGCGACTGGGGGTCGATGCATGCCCCACTGAGCCGACCCCCCTAACTCAGGAGGGGGAAAAACACACGGAAACAAATAAATGCCGATTCCCAAGAAGATAATGGAAACTATAGGAAGTGGAAGGGAAGACGAAACTGCAAGAAATGGAGCACATGGAGAATCCAGGGATCCGTCTATATAATTCTATAGATATATATGTATATATATATATACATATATATATATATGTATATGTGTGCGTCCCTGTGCCCCATTCACTAACTATGCCATGTCGCATCCCATGACAACCAAGCAAGGAAGACAACACGAAAACACAGCTCCGCTTCACACGGCTTGCTTGCCTTCTCCACCTCTCCAGCGGACGCGGTCTCCTGGCTCGACGAACCACTGCCTCCTGTCCGGGTCCCACCTGGCCCCCACGAGCTTCGCCGCGTCCTTCTCCTTGAAGGGCACCTTCCGCCATGGCGGGAGGGGTCTTCTCCTTTTCCTCCCAACCGCCCGAAGAGTGGCACAGCAATTGAAGCCCATCCGCAGGATACAGCCACCGGGTTACCACAAGGTTCGGTGAGTAATGAACGATAGGGCTTGTCTGGCCACGACGAGTGTCGGCCACTAGTAGGCGCCACGACCTGGGGTCTAGGGAACGGCAGGTAAACCAGAGCCCCTCCTGAGTCCAAAATGGTCCTTCTATCAGCATCTTGACTGCAGCGGCACGCGTGACAGTGCCCTCCGCAGTCGAACCAATCGCAACATCGGCGGCACCAACCTCAAAGCGGCAAATACTCATCAAATCCGAAACGGCTGAATATGTTGAGTGCGTGTTCCTCTCTCTGCGAACGTACTCGCCCACGGCGACATGTCAGTCCGGGTCAGCATTCGAATGCCCACCCTCGTGCCTGCCTCTGGGAACATGACGTGGTACGAACCTGCTTCCGGCCCAGTGGAAAAACGGATGCTTGAGCCACTTGCTGATGATACTGCTGATTACGGATGTTCGCGACTGCGCGACTGCCGGATGATGTTTGGAAGTGTGCTGCTGCTGCTGCGTGGTGCTGGGCGGTAGTATGTTCTGTTGCACAGCGCTGCTTTCCAATGTCACCTTCTACAGCCCTCGTCATCCTCCTCCTTCTCCGCCTCCTTCTTGATCCGTCCTCGCTCCTCTCTCCTTCTCCCCATGGCTTCATCATCTTCATCCCTCATCATCATCCTACTCTGCCTCGTCCTCATCACTCGTTTCCTCGTCGTTCATCCTCATCCTCGCTCCTCCTCATTCTTCTCCTCCTCCTCCTCCTCCTCCTCCTCCTCCTCCTCCTCCTCCTCCTCCCCCGTGCTTCTCCTCCTACTAACCCTCCTCGCTCATCCTTGATGTAGTCGTTGCGCCACCCCTCACTCACGCGCTTCCCTCGATTCTCATCATGCTCATCCTGCAAGGAGGAAAGACTGGTCTACTCTGTAAGAACGGTTTTTTGAAGGCAGATCTGCCTTCAAAAAACCGTTCTTACAGAGTAGACCGATTTTTTGAAGGCAGATCTGCCTTCAAAAAACCGTTCTTACAGAGTAGACCAGTCTTTCCTCCTCGCTCATAATCGCCTCCAACTCCTCATCGTCGCGCCTTATCCTCATTTCAGTCGTCGCGTTCCTCCTCGCGCCCCAACCTCGCTCTTCCTCGTTGTCCTCGCTCCTTTTCTCCTCCTCCTCCTCCTCCTCCTCCTTCTTCTACCCCCCTCCTCCTCCTCCTCCTCCTCCTCCTCATCATCATCATCATCAGCATCAGCATCAGCATCATCGTCATCGTCATCATCATCATCGCCATCATCCTTACTCGGGTCGTGAGGCCTTCCTTCCTTCGTCCTCTTCTCCTGATTCCTCGATCCTCCTCCTCCTCCTCCTCCTCCTCCTCCTGCTCGCTCGGGCTGTCGCGCCTGCTCCGCATTGCTTCTCCTCCCCCTTCTCCGCCCTTCTCAGTTTCATCATCATCATCAGCAGCATCATCATCAGCATCATCATCAGCAGCAGCATCATCATGAATCTGCGTTGTTTTCCTCCTCGCTCCCCCTTTTTGGTCACCCTCTTTCTTTATGATCCCCATCAGTCTCGCTCCTCCTCCTCCTCATCATCATCATCCTCCATACCCTCTCCTCGTCATAATCACCATCAGCATCATCATCAGCATCGTCATCGCCATCGCCATCCATCATCACCATCAGCATCGCCACCACCATCGCGGCAACAGCAACAGCAGCAGCATCGTCAGCTTCATCAACAGCAGCATCATAATCAGCAGCAGCAGCAACAGCAACAGCATCAGCATCCTCCCCCCATCCTCATCCACAACCTCATCCTCGCTGCTGCCCCTTCGCCTGCGTCGTTTGCTCCTCCTCCTCCTCCTTCAACTTCCCGCTCGTCCTTGCTCCTGCTCCTCGCGCGCGCCTCCTCCGCCTCCTCCTCCTCCTCCTTCTCGCTCATTCTCGCAAGGCTCGTCGCGATCACCTCCACTTCCAATCCCGTCCTCGTAAAATCACAGTCCTCCCATTCCTCCTCGCTGCTCCTTCCTCCTCCTCCTCCTGCTCCTCCCCCTCCTCCTCCTCCTCCTCCTCCTTCTCGCTGCTGCTTACTCCTCTTTCTGATCCTATTCCGTGCCTGTTGAATTTCCGTGGCGGCTTTCTGAACACTTGTTTCTTGTGGCAAGCTCCTACGCTTCCTGAGGATTTGGCGGCTTCCGTGCTCGCCGTCCAAGAATCGCGATCCTAGTAAGCGACCCATCGACGTGCAGCTGGGGCTCGACCCCAGAGTCCATCTGCGCGGAGTGCTGGCAGAGGAAGGGAGGGCGGACGGGCAAGGGATGCGGGGACGGCGTGCTGTGACGAGAGTCGGAGTGATGACGGGAAAGAGCTCTGTGCTGGCGGATCCGCGAGAAGGCCGAATATTGAAATCACTGCTGGGGACGTGCGGCACCCCAGGCATCAGGTAGAATCCGCAGACCCGCGGCCCCCGCTTGCTGGGGGGTGCGAGCTCCTTCGCGCCACCCAGGGGCCTCCAGAGCCTCCAAATCTTCACTTCGTGGCTTCCATTGGAGCCAACGTGCAGTCTGGCTCAGACTCGGCTTCAACACGACGAGGAGCCGTCAAAAACACGAGAGCTGGCACGACGACGACCCAAGAAGCCTCCAAGACGACCCGAGAGAGCTCCAAGAGGACCCTGGATAGGGCCCCAAGAAGGAACAACCTCCCAAATCCGTTCGCAAAACGTATGGTTTTTTTGCGCATGCGCTGTTCAGGTGTCAGCATCCGTCTAAAACGGCCCGAGTCCCAAGATCGCTCCGAGAAGACCCAAGAAGCCACCAAAACGGCAGACGAGGGCCCCAGGACGGCCACAGAGGCGCCCAAGACGGCCCAAGAGGCTCCAAGAGAGGCGCAAGAGTGGTATTCCGAACCAACATGTCGAGCCCTCCGCCTCAGGAGGGCTCCCGAGACCGCCAGCGGGCGCCCAAGAAACCCTCAAGAGGCCTCCGCGCCCAAAGGGGCCAAAAAAGAAGCCCACCTGAAGCCCAACACGGTTCCCTCAAAAGGCCTCGTCCGTGGATGTCTGTCCTCTTCTCGGGGTCGGCGAAATGTCGCAAACGTCTTGCATAGAACCGCGATGGACAGCTCCGGCTGCGGTTGGAGGTGCCTGTGTAGGCATTGTCTTAGCCACGACCGCGTTGGTGGCTCCTTTCCCCCTGCGCCTCTTCTTCCCCCTCCCACCCGCTCCTCCTCCGCGCTCCACTCTCCTGCTTAATGCTGGACGGATTATGATCCGTGGTCGAAGCGTCTGGACATCCTCTTCTTCTCCTGCTTCTCCCTCCCTGCCTCTTCTAACGTCTCGCACGTCCTTACTGCCCCTCCTCCTCCAACGACTCCTCCTTCTCCTCCCCCTCCTCCTACTGCTCGCTCCTCCTCGCAACGCTCGTCACGATCCCCCCTCTCCCAGTCCTGTCCTCCTCAGTCCGCCTCCTCCTCCTCCTCGCTGTTTCTTATAAATCACTTTCGAACCACTTTCGAACCACTGTCGCTGACTCCTCCTCCACCTCGAACCACTTTCCTTAGAAATCACTCCACCCTGTCGCGACCCGAGACGGGTCGGCAGAGCGGGCCATGCCAGTCGCCTGAGATTCGCTGACCACCTCCATCTCTGAAGTTGGCGGAGGAGGGGTCATTCCCGAAACCGTGCTTGCACTTACGGGTTCTCACTTGGCTGAACCATCTCGGGGTGAATGGCGGGTTTTGCGGGCGGTGCCACCCCTCTCCGCCGTCGCCGTCGCATAGATTCTCGTTTCCAAAAAAAAGGATAGGCTCTACCCCCCCCAGAAGTTAACGATCCCCCTCTGGGGTTTTGCGATTTCATATTTATCACGCACACTCGTCCATCATAAATAGTTATGAGTTCACACTACCCCAGCCAAACCGGTATCACTCCCCCCCGCCATCATCTGCAAAACAAATCTGCGCGCACACTCGTATATCAAACATCATAAGTTGTCAAGAATCCCATTGCGAAAGAAGTGTGGCGAAATCCACACGTGCGCGTCGTCGCGCGCGCATGCTGAAATACTTCAAAAACGGTTGGGTTCGGAAGGATGTCAAAATCGAAATCGAATGCCTCAAACACATACAAAACACAGGGTTTCGCAACACGGATGTTCTAAACAAGCTTACGTGCGCGCTCCTGCAATCTCTGAAGAAAAACCATACATGTTCAAACATTTCCAAAAAGTTCTACTCCCTGGGCTTCGCGCGCGCGCATGTCGAAATCGCCTTGCGCGCGTGCCGTCGCGAGAATCCTCTGCAACAAACGGGACGAGGTGCCCGCGCGCGCGCGTCGTGGCGCGCGCATGCATGCCGAGGAAGCGTTTCAAAATCGAGTGTCCAAAAGACATACAAAACACATGGTTTTGCAACGCGGGTCTTCAACAAAAGCGTGCGCGCGCGCTCTTGCGTCGTCGTCGTCGCCGTCCTCCCTCCTCCCTCGTCGTCGTCGTCGCCGTCGTCGTCCTCTGTTTTTCCTCGTTGTCATCGTCGTCGTCCTCTTGGGCGTCGTCGTCGTTTCTTTCGTCGTTGTCGCCGTGGTCGTCCTTCCTCCTCCTCCCTCGTCTTCGTCGTCGTCCGTCGTCGGCCTCGCGTCGTCGTCCCTCCTATTTCGTGGCCGTCGTCGCCGCCGCCGTCGTCGTCGTCGTTGTCGCCTTCCTCCCTCCTCCTTCGTCGTTGTCGCCGTCGTCGTCCTCCCTCCTCCCTCGTCGTCGTCGTCGGCGTCGGCGTCGTCGGCGACATCGTCGTCGTCGTCATCTTCGTCGTCGTCGTCATCGTCGTCGTCGGCGGCGTCGTCGTCGTCGTCGGCGTCGTCGTCGTCGGCGTCGTCGTTGTCGTCGTCGGCGTCGTCATCTTCGTCGTCGTCGGCGTCGGCGTCGTCCTCCTCGT